AAAAAAAAAAAAAAAAAAAGAAGGCTGCAAGGGGAAAATGAGGGTCCAAAGAGAACCTACGTGGTAGGTACATGGTAGGTAGGTAGTTAGGCTGGAAGAAAGGATGGAGGGGGTCAGAGAGAGAGAATATGGTGCTCATGAGGACAGAGCTGTTTGTTTACAACTTAGAAAAGCAATTCAGGTTCCTGGAACAAAGAAGGCTTCAAGGGGAAAACGAGGGTCCAAAGAGAACCTACATGGTAGGTAGGTAATTAGGCTGGAAGAAAGGACGGAGGGGGTCAGAGAGAGAGAATATGGTGCTGCTCATGAGGACAGAGCTGTTTGTTTACAACTTAGAAAAGCAATTCAGGTTCCTGGAACAAATGTAATTTATAAAAAATTAATAAGTACAATTTTCATTGGCAAACATGTTTTATAAGCTTTGTAGTCATCCAACACCCTATAGTTAATCCTATTCCTGGAAAGTAAACCAATCTTTGTAGTTAACAATGTAATGTACCTGGGAGCCTCTTTGCCCTTTCTTGGAAAACATTAAAAAGAAGAGCTGCTCATCAGTCATAGGGAAAGGAACATACATACTCTGAAGTAGACTTTTGCTTCCACTGGGCTAATTTCCAGCAGTGCTGTGTTCCAGTGGTCACCAGGACCCAAGTATTTTCTAACCTTTACTTTTTCATTTTGCTGAGAGGAGCAATAACCACACAGAATTTTTAATTCACAAAACAGTTGTATGAATTGATTATTTCTTCTTGAAGCTTCTCATCAAATAAGTTGTGACCTATCATTTCTTTTTTTAAATTTTAGCCAAGGTTAAAATCAAAGTTTTAGGCTTATAATTTTTATTCAACATAACGAAAGTACACCAGAAAAAGGGAAGCATTATAAAATATTATAAAAGGAAAACATAAAATAATTAAATTTTAAAACCAGTATATGCAGGAAGATAGCCCAAAGTCTTCATTATCTTCTTACAGAAGAAACTCCACTACTGTATACCTTCTCTGCTTCCATTCCTTAGTTACCCTAAGAATAGTCTCACGTCACACATTTTGTCGTTTACTCGTATTTAACAGTCCTGTTGCAATCATCTTTTACAACATAATCCACCCTCAGCTACTTTTTGGAGGAATGTCAGAAGGAAATAAACAGAAACATAAAGTACACATGAAATCATGTTTAGCTTTGAAGAGAATGACCTCTTAATTTTTACTTTTGGTTAACAGGTACCACAGCATCCAACCGTACAAGACTACTGGAAATGTGTGAAGAAAGAAAGCATTAAAGGAGTTAAAGAAGTCTGGAAACAAGCTGGAAAAGGTCTTTTTTGATAAAAGATAATATGGCAGTTATATTGCTCCAAATGTCAGAATTTGATTTTTTTTGAATTATCAGCTGTTTGTCTTCTTAAGTCTTTATTGATATCCTTTGTAATGTAAACATACCTTGTACTTGCTTGCTTTTTTTTTTTTTTTTCTCCTGTGGTCTTGTCTGAAGCCTTCTACTTGCTTTCTGATTCAATAACTTCAGTAAAGAACTTAGCAAAAAGAAAAGAAGGTATTCTTTTACCCAAACAGATATTAGATTCTGCCAGAAGGCCTAGATTTGAAATGTTTTATACTTTGGTAAGATGGAAAGCCTAGTTATTCACTGATTTCTTAGACACGATAGCATGATATGCTTTCTGAAAGGATAAACAAGTACTTATGCGGAAAAAGTGCTTGATATACAAGGCCAGTATCAATTCCAGAAGTCCTGCTGATCCTGATAGGGTAAAAGAAGTTAAAAACTTATTTCAGATTTTTCTCATCTGTGTCTTATGTCTCATAAATTTCTTACATATTTTGTGTCAGCTTAGCTATTTATTAGTTGTCTTAAAAATAACATATAAATTTCAATATCCTATCTGGAAACAGAATAAAGTATTTACATAGATACAGAAAATACGAAGGTGCTCTTTATTTTACATGTGTTTTTTAAAACTACATTTAAAAAAAATTGTAAATACTCTCATCACTTGTCAACCTCATTAGTTTATGTTCTTTGAAAACTTGTGTAGTTGGGAGAATTTATCACAAAATCAGAGTCTCATGGGATATATTGAGTTGTAGGAAATGTTTAAAATAAGAATCCATGAGCTTACACTGAGAATCAAGTAATCCGATTGATCAGTGGGGCAGAAGAAACCTCTCCCTTATAGTTGTTAAAGAATAGGCCTTAAAATATGTTAATCTGCTAAGTTGGAAAACTCTCCCTTACAATTTAATGTTTGAGATTGACAAGTGACAAAAGCTATTGTCCAATTATTTTATTGGAAAAATTTATTTTGCTGCTCATTAAAAAACATAAATTTGCTCTAACTCATTGTTTTAGAAATAATTATTTATAAAATAACTAATTTTTTATCTCCCTTGTAAAACCAAACCAAGAGAAAAGATAAGCAATGCAAAAGTATAAGTGTGAATCCTCCACTGTTTCCTGTTAGCCACAAAAACTCACTCTCTACTCACCTGTCTGCCCAGGTGCCCTTATAGGTGAAGATTAGGGGCATGAAAATCCAAAACCTAGGATGGTTTCTTGTGTCTTCACTGCCTCAACTTCTCCAGCCTCTTCACCTGGCACTGACTCTTCCTGCCCATAGCATTTGCAAGTACTAAACTCCAGTGACAGAAAGAAGATAAGACCCATGAAATTATCCAGTACTAGGAAAAGAAAGAAAAAAAAGTGAAGAGAAAATGAACAAAGCATGAAGGAACCATGGAACATCATCAAGTGTACCAAATACACATTATAGGAATCCCAGAGAGAGAAAAGATAGAGAAATAAGCAGCAAAAATATTTGAAGAAATGATGGCCAAAAACTTCCCAAGTCTGATTAAAAACATACAAGGAACTTAACAAACTCCAAGGGAGAAGAACTCAAAGGGATCCACACTGAGACATATAATCAAATTGTCAAACTTCATAGACAAAAAGAGAATTTTGAAAGCAGCAAGATAGAGGTAACTCATTATGTACAAGAGATCTTCAATAAGAATGATAGCTGATCTCTTATCAGAAACTATGGAGGCCAAAAGGCACAGGGATGACATTCAAAGTCTTGAAGGAAAAAAAAAACCTGTCAACCAAGAATTCTATATCCAGCAAAACTATTCTTCAAGAATGAAGGAGAAATTAAGACATATCCAGATAAAAAACACTGAGTTAATTTATTACCAGTACCTGCCTACAAGAAATGCTAAAGCAAGTGCTGAAATGAAAAGACACTAGACAGTATTTCTAAGATGTCAGAAAAAAATTAAAATATTACTAAAGGTAACTTCATAGGTAGATATAAAAGCCAATATTATGGCTGGGCCCAGTAGCTCACCCCTGTAATCCCAACACTTTGGGAGGCAGAGATCAGAGGATTGCTTGAAACCAGGAGTTTGAGACCAGCCTGGGCAACATAGCAAGATCCCATCTCCACAAAAAATAATAAAAATTAGCTGGGCTTGGTAATGTGTGCCTATAGTCCCAGCTACTTGGGAGGCTGAGGCAGGAAGCTTGCTTGACTCCAGGAGTTCAAGTTCACAGTGAGCTACAATCACACCTCTGCACTACAACCTGGGTGACATAATGAGATCCTGTCTCTAAAAAAAAAAACAAACAACCCAAGGTCTTGGTTTTAAAACAGCAACTCAAAGTACTGTAAAAAGAAAAAAAAAAAGCCAATATTGTACTTTTGGTTTGGTTTGTAGCTTCTCTCTTTGTATGATTTGAAAAGATAAGTACATAAAATAATAAGTCTATATTAATGGACATACAATGTGTAAAGATGTAATCTATCAAATAACAGTATAAAGGGGGAGAGATGCAGATGTATAGTAGTAGAGTATATACTATTGAAACTGAATTGGTATTATTCAAAC